AGGGGCGAGGGAGCTCGGGGGTCCCTCTTATCAGGGCACTGATCCCACCCACGAGGGCCCCGCCCTCACAGACTCATTGCTTCTCTACCATCAGCACAGGGGAAGGACCTCAACACGGGAAGTGGGGGAGACACACAGGCGTTCGGGCCGCGTGTCACCCGTCCTGCCACTACTGTGCTCAGTGGTTCTGAGGCTCTGCGTGTCCTCTGTGCGCTGACGGCCCCCCACACCCGCCTCCGACGTCTCCCCCCGGGAGATCTACCAAGGTCACACCTTCCTGTGCTCAGAAGTCAGCCTCCTGCTGGAGTTCTGTTTTCTTCTCGCCCCGAAGGGGACGGGCGCTGGAGAGAGAAGCTAACATCGGGGACAGAAAGGCCAGAACTCCACGGCTCCTGGGCCAAGCCTGGGTCCGCCCCGCGAACCGACCCTCTCCGCTCAGGGAGGCGGCCTCGCTCTGCGTCTGCGACGGGGGGGTGGGGGAGGGTCCCCCACTTCTCGCTCGTGGGCCTCCCTGGAGTTCTCGAGGGTGCAAACACCTCAGAGAGCCTTTCTCCGACGTTTCTGACATTGCGACTCCCCACCCAGCCCCTCGCCTGGCTGGACTCCTCCCTGTGGACTCCTGGACATTCGACCCTGTCTGGGTGACCTGCTGGTTTTGGCTGTCTGTCCTCTCCACAAGGAGTTGCGCCGTTCTCCTCGGGGCTGGAGCCCAGTGACCGAAACCTGGCACACAGTAGGTGTTCCAGAAATGCAGGTCGAAAAGAAATGAATGAGGCAGAGCTTGTAAACAGGGCCCTGGGTCCCACTGGCCCAGCCTGGAGTTTCGAAAAGGCCAGATTTGTTCCCAGAGCTGCAAAGCCACTGCAGTCCATCTGGTCACCAGCCTGAGCCCTGGAAGCAGCTGGGTGTTCTGCCCCGGCGTCCTGCTGGTGTCAGAGACTGGACTGGGGGGCTCAGGGGACTAGAGGGGTCTGCTGGGAGGGACAGGGGCTGAGAGCGGCCCCCAAGGCACCCCTACCCACCAGAAGGCTGCCTCAGGCCTGCTGTCTCCTGGCTGTCCACCGTCACCGATCGCCAGCCTTTACTGATGGCTTATGTCACCCTTCTCTTAGTTTCCATGTTTGGAGGTTGTTCTCAGCAAAAGGCGTGCAAAGCGAGAACTCGCCCTGTGGGGAGCCGACCTGATTTTCCATCTGGGGGTGGGGTGGGGGCGGGCTGCCGGGCCGCTGGAGAGCCTGCTGGGCGGTGGCTCCTTCGCACAAACAACACACAGTCCCTCGATGGAGAGCTAAGTGGGCAGGAACGGTCTCAACATCCCCAGGGCAGAGCGTTGCCAAGGCAACCGCAGCCGGCGGCCTCAGTGAAGACAAAGGTGCTCAGGTGCCGGTCTCTCCATGCCCCCAACACACACGTGTGTACCTGTGCCTGCACACACACGGGAGTGTGTGTGTGTGTGTGTGTGTGTGCAGGCACATGTCCCTCGGGCACAACACAGCCCTGCGCCGAGGGCTCGAGGTCAGCCAGGGCCGTGGGCAGGGTCACGGGGACAGTCTCCCTGAACGCCCACCGTGGACGAGAGGTTTTTGTCTGGGTCGCATCCAGGTTCTGAGTGAGGAACTGAAGTCACAGAGTGTCTGAGATCACACGGCCGGCAGGCAGCGGGGCAGGACGTGAACCTGGGCCGTCCTCCCCAGCGCTGGGCTCTCGGCCGGGGTGCCCTCGGCCTGGTGTGGGTGGGTCACTGTGGATTCTGTCCCGTCTCTTCAACTGTGGACGCGCTTCGGTCCCTCCAGAGCAGCTGGTCCTGGGCCTGCTGTGGGCTGGGACCCGCCCTCCGTCCTCTCGTCTGGAGGGAGCCGGTGGCCCCTCCCACACCTTCCCCTCCCCCCTGGGGCCTCCAGAGGGGCGTCGCAGCCCAGGTCCCTGGTGCAGTGTCCGCACTTCTTCCCTGAGTACAGGGCATCGCAGCGACTTTTCCACCTGACGTGGCTTTGAATGAAGCTCGCAGGGAGGGGGTGTGGCTGAGCACCCCACTGTGACCCTGTCTGCGCCCCCCTCCCCGTGCTGTGGCCCCTCGCAGGGATGGCCGACCCAGAGCCCAGGGGCCAGGCGGACACGGTGGCTTCGGCAGCAGCCCCACAGACCGAACCCTCACTGCAGACATATTTTTAAATTGTTGCCCATGGAAAAAATAAAAACATACAGTTGGCCGTCAAGACTGAGAAACGAGGTGCCTTGCACCCGAAGTGTCCGTTTGTCTGGAAGGGGCGGTGGCACCTACTCGCGTTCCCTCTCGGCCACGAGCGGCTGCAGCTGGGCAGGGGGTGCGTTTCCAGAACAGGGCACGACTGACTCGTGGCCGAGCTCCCGTAAATCACCGGTGTGGCCGCTGGAGGCACCTGGGGTCACGCCATGTCCCACGTGTCCGATGCGAAAGGCCAGCCGGGTGCCGACACCAAGAGACGGAAGAGGGACTTCGAGCGCGTGGCGTGCACACAAGGAGACCGGTTCACCGTCGCGCACACACACACACACACACACGCACGCACCAGGCTTACCTTCCTCAGTGAGCGGCACGCCCAGGGGACGTCCGGTGCACACGGGGAAAGAGTCACTTACTTTGATGACGTCCTCGTCTGCAGACTTGCATTCCACGGACTCCGAGATGTCGGTCACCGCACTGTTCTCCTCCACGGACACCACCCTGACGGGCAGGGTGACTGTCTTCCCGGTGAGTATGGCCGTGTTCAGAAGCTCCGTGTCCTGCGGAGCAGCAGACAGGGCAGGGTCAAGGGGCAGGCCTCTCGGGACATCACAGGTGTGCAGGCCAGACACGCGCCCGAGGGACCCGGGCCAAAGGGCCGAACTTCGGGGCGGTCTCCCGAGCACGCTGAACAGGCTACCTGTGGTTTATTTATGGTCGCCTTCCTAATTCCCCACAATAACAATAAAAATTTGATTGTCTTTGCAGAACCCCACAGCAGCGGGGTTTGGGTGTGAGCGGCAGAAGCGCAGTGTGAGCAGGAAGTGTGAGCAGGAAGTGTGAGCAGGAAGTGTGAGCAGGAAGTGTGAGCAGGAAGGCCCTGTGGCCGGTGGAGGGGTGCTGCCCCCAGGATGCCTGTGTTCGCAGCTCCGGAACCTGGGACTGTGTCCCCGGCGTGGTGAGAGGACTCGGCAGAGTGATTCAGGGCCTGGAGATGGGGAACTGCCCTGGCGTATTGGGCGTGGGCCTGGCAGAACCACCGAGCTCTTGGGGCAGGCGGCCGGGAGGGTCAGCGGAAGAGAAGATGCTGCCGTGATGGGGTGGGGGTCAGGGGGTCCCAAAACCAGGAGCCAGGTGGCGTGAGTGGCAGCTGGAGGCTGGAACAGGGACAGATTTCCCCAGATCCCTTGAAGGAGCACAGCCCTTGGACACCTTGACTTTGGCCCCATGAGACACCCCTGACGTCTGCCCCTGAGGATGGCAGCAGCCCCGTGTTCACCCGTGGGCGGCTCCTGCTCCCGGGACCAGGGCAGACACTGGAGGAGCCCGCAGCACAGCGTCCGGGACTCAGGACCCAGGAAAGAGTGGCCGCTCGCCAGGGTAAAGCGCAGGGAGCCCTTCCGCCGCCCGGCCCCTGAGTCACTGGGCTCACCACTGAAACTCTCCGGAGGGGGTCTGGCCGACTCACTGGGGCCCAGGCCCCTCCCTTGTCCGGGGAGCATGGGCCCCCGGCCCGACGGGCCTGCCAAGGCCGCCCCCCCCCAGGAAAATGGCGGGAGACAGACGGACAGACTCCCATCAGACAGACGGCGCAGCGAGAGGGCCAACCACTGCAGCGCCGCAGTCAGGCGACTTCCACCGTGCACATCCACCCCACCTTCGCGGTGAACGCCAGCCTGCCGGGGCTTCTTGTATCACGCAGACTTTCAGGAAAGCTGCCCTGCCTTCCTCTGTCCCCCGTGGGAGCTCGTCCAGCACAGCTGCAGGGACTTCGGCTGGTCCTGCTCCCCTCGAGTTCAGGCCACGTGACTGGGTCACATCTCTCCTGCCCGTTGTGATTTGCGCAATGACGGAGGGAACGGCTTCTCTCTCGAGACTGCGGATGCTGCCTGCTCGAACCTTGGGAATCCTTCCTCGGGTCCCCAGGAGGGTGACACGGGGTCCATAGCTTTGAGACACTTACGGGCCCCCCTGACCTTGGAGCTGATGTCTCCCAAAGCCCGACCCGGAAACACCCCTTGACTCAGAAGAGAGGGCTTCTCAGTTCTTTTCCCGGGGAAGCTATCGACTCAGAAACAACCTTTTGCATTACACCAGCGCTCAACGGGAATGGCTGTCCGTCTGTCCGTCTCTCGTCACCAGGGAGTCCCAGGCCCTGAGCAGTGAGCGAGTCTCCTCTGCCAGGCGCTCTCTCCGGCACTCGGGGCACCTGCAGTGGGGGCCGTAGTCGGGGCAGCTCCCGCACCGGCGGTTACAGATGCTAAGAATACCTCGGGAGTCCCCCAAGTCCAGGTCCAGTCTCAGGTTCATTACAGGCAACGCGCTCGGAGCTCAGCCTCCCACTTTCTCTCGCGGAACGGCCTTTGGCTAATGGCTTCATTACAGCCGCACACTCCCTCCTGGGTTAATGATGAGCTTCTGGGCCTCGGTTGCAGCCTCCCTCCCTCCCTCTCTCTCTCTCTCTCTCTCACACACACACACACACCCTATCTAACACATCCTGGCCCTAAACTGAACGACTGTTAAGATCAGAAATGGTGGGGCTAGTTACTTCTAACTGAATGCCATCAACCCAGGGAACTGGGTGCAGGGAGCGCAGCCTCCAGGGCCACTGGCTGAGGACCTAGGTGACGGTCCCCGTGTCCCGATCCGGTTTTGCTGAGTGTGCGTCCCCGTGAGCACCAGGGCTCTGGGACCCTGGCTTCCACTCGGGGCCGTGCCACACGGCTCCCCCCATGTGACCTCGGTCCCACCCTGTTTTTTAGAATCTTCATCTCTTCACGTGACCAGTCGGGGATCAGGCCACGCCCTCTGGCCAGCTGTCCAATCCTTGACGACCACGGAGCGTCACCCGCCATTTAGTGGATTCCTACTGTGTCCCAGGTGTGCTCTTCTCGCTGGGTTACAAAGTAGCGATGACGGTGGTGACAGGTCCCCGCTCAGCAGAGGGGCAGGAGCAAGCAGGTGATTCCGACATCAGTTTTCACCGGGACCCTGTCACTAGCTGGTGGCAAACACCCAGCTCCCGGTGGCCTAAGCAAGGCAGGACCGACTGCCTTGGGTGGTAGAACCCGAACGTCCGGCCCCTGCCGGCACCTTGACCTTGGGCTTCCCTGCCTCCAGCAGGTGACAAACGGAAGTTCTGCTGCCGGGTCTGCGGTTGCAGCGTTTTGCTACAGCATCTTCACACGCCCTTGGGCGTGACTTCGGAAGGAGGACCTTTGACGCGTGTTTGACCCAGCTGGACCTGGAGCGACAGGCGTGCCGGCCAGGCGGTGGGGGGCCATGGGGCTGGCTGTGTGGGAGGCAGCCCTTGGTCTGGGCTCCAGGGGGCGCCGGAGCACACCATCCACACCGGTCCCAGCCGCAGGACCGTGACCGGGCACCGCTGTCACTCGAGGCCACCAGCGTGGTTCCATGGGCACCCTCTGCTCTCGCCGCCGCCCCGCCCGGCGCGGAGGGCGCCTGTTCTGCCGGAGTCCGTGACGTGAGGCCCTAAATCACTGTCATTTCCGACCCGCGCGGAGCCCGGGGCTTCGGAGGAGACTCCGCTGCTCTTCGATTCTCCCTCATAAATGTAAATTGGTTTTGCCACTTTCTATAGTTTTACAAATCCTATTTTTAATTTTTAAGTAAATACAGAGCACAGCACTACTTCTGGCGCGTGGGAAGGCGGAGGGCCGCCCGCGAAGGGGCTGAAACCGTGTGAGACCGGCCGGCGGGACGGCACCGCACCCACGGCAGGTGCGAGCCCCAGACAGAGACTCGTGCAGGGAAGAGAGGCGTGTGCAGGCGTGTTCCACACCGGCCGAACACCCATCTCGCCCACTGGCCTGGAGAGCAAGGGTAGTGCCGCCACAGCCACTTCCGGCTCCTTCCCGGGGACGGCCACAGTGTCGCCGCCTCTTCTGCAAACTCTTTGCCGCCAGCTCTTCCGTGTGCCTCCTGGGTTCTCGGGCCGTGAGGCTGCTGGGGGCACCCCCGCTTCCGTCTGTGACCCTGCCGCAGGGGCCTGTTGTATACACATCGGTGAGCCAAGACTGATCTTTACAGGTGTTAAGGCTCAAAAAAAAAAATACTGACAGAGATGGAAGCAATACAGGACTGAAACCTACGCCTGGCGCGTTCACCGCGAGCCCTTGAGAGAACACCCTTGCTGTTGCCCGTGCAAGCCGAGCATTTGCCTGAAATTGCGGGCTCTCGCTTTGTCCCCCGGGGCCTCCCCGAGTCCTGTGGCGTCCAGGCCACTCTCCCTGGGACATCAGTGTCCCCGCAGGTGTGAACGCCCGTGGCTGTCCCCGCAGCCTGCCCGTTCAGCTGTCACCCCCTCTGACTCACTGCTCCTGGCAGGGCTTCCTGCGGGTGCCCGGGGCCCAGAGGCCCTTTGCAACTCGGTTGGCATCACAATAATTTGCGTTGTACGTGGGGGACCCCGAGGCTTTGTCCCCCTGAGAAGTGACGCCCTGAAACACAGGGACTCCGGTTAAAAAGGCAGGGGTGTGGGAACTGGGGCTCCGCTTGCGGTGGCTCGAAATTGACAGCTGTGACTGCTTTCACGTGGCCACAGCCTTGGGTCCCGGGCGCCCGTCACCCCCAGGAGGGGGACGGGATACTTGAAGAGTGAGAAGCCTCTGCGATTGGCCTTCGCAGACTTCGGCATGGTAGAGGACACTCCAGAACGTCCGCTCCCGCAGGAAAAGAACACGAGTAAAAAAATCCACCACCATCTCCTCCTGACCGGCCGGAGCAGAGGAGGTCAGGACAACACGCCACGGGGTGGAAGAAGGACGCCTGGGGCAGCTGGATGGGCCCCGGTGGGTGTGGCCAGCACAGGGAAGGGTGAGGGTCCCGTCTGGCTGGGAAACCAAGAAAGGAGGGCCCGGCCGCTGGCCTCCGGGGCCCAGATCCCGGAGGCCCGGGCAGCCCTTCCACCACCTGCGTCCTGCTCCGTGGCCTCCAGTCCTGCCCACTCTGGGCCGGGCGTTGCCGTGGGAGCAGTGGGTGCACCCACCTGCTGAGGGGCCCTCTGGGAAGAGAGGAGAGAGCCCTCGAGGAAGCCCCTCGCTCAGTGCCCGGCACGGACGTGGCTGCTCCACGACCACCGGCCCCGTCGTCCTCGGTCCGGAAAACAGACCCCGAGAGTCAACCCTGAAGTTCAGTTTCAGTGTCCTCCGTCACCACCATCAGAAAGTGAGCGCTTGACGGTCACTAATTTGGAAACTAATCTAGCATCACTCGGAAGTCGATGCATTTAATTAAACCTCCCAGTCGATCAGGAGGGGCCAGCGGCAGGGCTCGGGGGGCGGCAGGAACGGGGCTCCCTGTGGTTTCCGAGCCCGGAAGCTGGGCCCCAGGCTGTGGAGCCGGGAGGAGCGTGGGCTGCTGCTGGCCCCTTGGGGGTGGGGATCTCCGATCGGCCTTCCAGGAGGGAGAGATGAGGACCCCTTCCGGATACGGAGGGGGAGGGCTCCCCCAGGTCCTGCCTCTGCACCCCACGGGGAGGCCTGCTCTGCCTGAGGACGCTCTGCAATGCGAGTGCACTCTGGCCCCCCTGGGGGTC